CGTGGTCCACTATATTGTGGTAGTCCAAACTCTAAATCAAGATTTTCCATAACCGTTTCACGAGAGTGAATATCGACTCGTGAGGCCACGTCATCAAATCCAAAAATAGATTGTGACGTCACGAGCATCGCGTGAACAGGCCGCGAGTGGGTCTCCTTTTCGGCCGGTTTGAGTGCTGCTTACGTCATCATAAATAGGTGACGTGGAAAGCGCCTTACTGTGAAGGGCAATATTCCTCCTACATATCAAAATACCCCTCAATTATGGTGAAAATATCAGACCACTCCCTCCCCTAAAATCAGGTTGACCGATTAGCCTTCCTTATCTATTTTTAATTTTTAACTAAAACAGGCTGACCCTTTATTAGCACGCTATTACCCTCATTCACGTCCGGGGCCTTTATTTAGGATTGAATAAATTCAAGAGAAATTCACCCTCAAATATAAAAAAAGGTGCGGTTTGTATAGAGCCCCAGCTCTAAACAATCAAAATAAAGCTCATATTTGAATAGTGTCAAGAAAAGATTTATCTTTAATTATAAAATTTAAACTTCAAAAATAGTGTAGATCGAGAAGATCCATGAAATATTGAAAATTGAAGGTCAAAAAAAGCATTGCAAGATACAATATTTCCGAAACTTGAAATCTACGTTCTTCTTATGTTCACGCATCTTGATGTCGAGATGATCAATTTGAAGATATTTAGGCATAAAAACCTCTTCTAGTGAAAGTTTTTAGGTGGGCTCTAATTTGATTGTTTGGAGCATCGGATCTATATAAAATTTTTCTTATTATTAATGCATTTTTTTGAGAAAAAATTATATGGAGCCCAGGTTCTAAACAATCAAATTAGACCCTACCTCAAAAATTTCACTAGAAGATGTTGTTTTCATGCCTAAATGTCTTCAAATTGATCATCTCGACATCAAAATGTATGGCAATCACAAAAAAAAAGAAAAAAAAAAAGATTTCAAGTTTTGAAAATATTGTATTTTGCAACACATTTTTAGACCGTCAATTTCAAGATTTTCAAGTTTTCATAGATCTGTCGATCTACACCATTTTTTAAGCTTTAAACTTTATAAATGTAAATGAAAATATATTTTAAGGCTATCACAAATATTTCCAGTATTGAAACCACATTTCTCGACACTATTTGAAGGTAAGCTCTAATTTGATTGTTTAGAGCCTAGGCTCTATACAAACTACACCCATTATAATTTTACCTATAATTTTCCGTTATTGACACTCTACTCGTTTTATTTCCATTACTACAACATCTTGTCTGCATTTTAAAAAATAACGAGATTGCTTTTTTTCATATTTTCAAGATTCAACGAACTAACTGAAATTGAATTTTTTATAATCTAAATATTTAAAATTTTATATTTTCATAATTTTCAAAATCTATTTTAAAAATTTTGGATGTTCAACTTTTAGTGTCCCTCAAAATTTTTGTAATTTGAAAATCCAGAATATGTACGAAAATAAAATGATCGAATATTGAAAATCCAAAAAATGCAATTCTCAGATATTGTAAAATCTGAAAAATATAAAAAATTTCCAATTTTTGGATTTTCAAAATCTGGAAATTGCAATTTTTGAATTTTCAAATTATGAATCCAAAAACAGAAATTTTTGGATATTCAAAATCTAAAATTTTCTTTTTTAGTGTCCTTACAATTTTCGGATTTTGGAGATCCAAAATTTACTTCAAATTTTCTGTTTTGGAATTTCAAAATCCAAAAATTGCAAATTTGGATATGGAAAGCTGATTTCCCATACTACCTTTCAAGATCCACAAATCCACAATTTTAAATTTTTTTTTTTTTTTTTTAATTGGTCTTCCAGCCAAACACTTGCTTTTTAGTAATTTTTGGGAGCATCAAATGAGACCGATCCAAATCACTTAATGATCTGCCCCACCTATCGAGGTTTTAAAACATTTGTCAGAAGTGTTACCACAATCCAATTGAATAGATAGAGAGGGAGACGCATGACATGACCCACATGGCAGGTATCTCTCTGCATCACCCCATCAATCCATTTTGGGGCGGTGATAGGAACTCATGGCCATATATTTCTCTGATCCTATGGGCCATAGTTTGTGCCATATATATGGCATAGAACCGGAAGAATAAGCCATACCGTACGTTGTGAACAATGGACGCTTGAGATGAACCATTACCCAGACGCATCCAGGGAGTCAAGCCTCAACCATTCTTTTGGACAGTCAAGAGTACAATTAGCATATTATTTTACGTTAAATGTATCATGGTACCCCACTCTCACCTATGTAAATAGAACCGCAAAAGTAAACTTCATGAGGACCAGTAAAATTATGGAATGCCCCACTTTTTTTTATTACAGCCTAGGTCACCTGAATTTCCTTAAAAATTAGCAAACTTAACCAGATCTGTCCAATTTCCCCCAAAGTATTGTATTCAAGAGGAAGCTAGTGCTGCGGGGTGGGCCAGGCCAATCGGTTCGGCATAAAAAAAAGTATGGGTAGGCTACATACCAAGCCTCCATGGCCCGAGGGCCGCCAAGGCCACAACACGGCTGGCCAGGTTCGGCCAGCCTAGCCCTCTTTTTTCTAGGTTTTCATTTTATTTTATTTTAATTTGTTTTTGTCTTGGCCCAATTCTTATAAGGCTACAGCCAGCTTGGGACAAGACCTATGTGGCCCAGTCCTTGCTGGGATGGGCCAAGCCCGACCCATTTTCGAGGCCTAGATGAAGCATAGAAAACAAAAACAATTTGCACATGTCCATGGAGATTTAATTTTTTTCAAGCAACTCTGCTCGCTTTAAGCTTAACTCCCTCTAAAATTTGCCCAATTTTAATTTGAGCACTAATGAAAATGACAAAAAAAAAAAAATAGTTTAATGAAGTTAGGGTTTATTGAGGCTGAGGTCCTTCCTTTGACCGAATGAAAACACAAAGCCATGGGGCCACCGACAGTCTACGTTGTCCATTAGCATCAATACCTGCTTTACACGTGGTCTCAAAAGGATTATGTTTGTATGGATTGGGTATTTGAGTGCACCTAATTATTTTGGGTTTACAAAGGAAAAATAACAAAGAAAAGGACAGGCCTAACATACTGTTAATTACTCATGAATAGCTCGAACAACCCAAAATTATTATCGATTGATTGCATGCTTGACCAAGACCTCCCTCCGTCCCTCTATTGCATTCTTGACTTCACTAATTACGAATACTAATTTATCATCTTCTTCTCTCTCTTTTTTCTTTTAACTTTGTGTTTTACCCCTCCTTTCTCTCTCTTCTCCTATTGAAATCACAAGATACTCCCACTCTTTACTACTTTCTCTCTCTTCCCCCCTCTCTCTCTACTTCACATTCTTTGCATTACCCCCAGTCAAAAGTCTTAAGCTCCTATCTTCACCTATGTACTTCTCAATTGATATACGCTTGGATTTCTTCTTCCTCTTCCCTTAGTCCATAGTCAATTTAGTACGCAGTCCATGAAAAACATGTGCTAGGTTTCTAGCAACTCATTTCACACAACACACACTTGCAAAACCTCACAAATACTGATTTATTCACCCAAATTGCGGTATTGTTCATCGGAGTCGTCGACAAAGAATACTCGCGTATGACATTGATTAGATCCTGGTAGTCCACACACATAAAGAATTGGTGGATAGTGGTGGACAACGGGCACCTAGATATGGATATGCGTGTCTGAGTCTAATGTGTGACTAAGTGTCAACTATCGAACGTTATAGTTCAAAATTTAGACACAAAAATGCACATCTGTATTACTATTATTTTATGATAAAATAACAAAATACATAGTTCGCATTCATTATACTTTAAATATCGTTAGCATAGTATTAGATCTATGTTGTTGCCACTCACAAAGAAAGCATGTGGTAGCAAATAGAGAGAAGAGGCTACCACCGGCACTATCTAGATATGATATGAATGTCTGAATTTAATGCGTGACTACAGATGTAGTATCAAATTTTATAAAATTGTGCTACGAAGAGACATGTCCATATGATTATTATTTTATGACAAAACAATATAAATATATACACATTTCATATCATTGTACGTGTATATTGTTAGCATGATGGCAGACTCCATAAACATTGCAGAAAATGGCATGCAAAGGTGAAGAAAAATAGTTTGTAGGAGAGCTGACATGAAAAATGGCAAGAGTAAAATGGGAGTGTTGGTAAGATAGGGAGGCACTTGAGAGTCGAGAGGGAAAGAAGGGGGGCATGTGAGGTCCATCATTTGTAAATGGACTTTACATTGGAGACAAAAGCTGAGGCCTTCCGCCCACATGATTTCCCCTCCACTTTTACACGCCAAAAGCTAGCCATCCCATGACCATAAAAAGAGAAATTCGAAACCCTTCCCATTTTTTCCCTTTTATTTTTTGTACAAAGCCAACCAGCTTTTACTAACACCAATTTAATAACAAACACCCAAACGGAAACATGGATTTTGCTCCCATAGCTTTTACTCATAATCCCAAAAGGAAAGAGAAAAGTTGTAACGCAGTGGACAATCAATTGCTTTAACAATAAATCAATAAATAAATAAAATAATAAATTATGTGGACTCGAAATAATTACTGAAAATATGAAATGATCCATTTATAGGTAAAAATTACAAAAATCTGTCAACTTTTGTTTTTTGTTTCATTAAATTATATTTTTCTTTTTCTTTTTCTTTTAGTTTTTTTGGCAGGACAATGCTTGAAGCTTAGAGGCAATGTCCGAGGTTGAAAAAATAAAAATAAAAAAATACATATTGACCAACCTTCCACAGAATTTTTAACGAACATTGTCCCATTTTGTATTTTAGGTAAAGTTTTCGGATCTGTATGCCAATCATTTTAAAACAAAATTATAAAAAAAATATAAAAAAAAAAAAGACAAAAAAACAAAAACGAGAGAAAGAAATCAAATAGGAAGAAAGGCATCAGACATGGGAAACAAACTGTATTGACCGTATCTGTCATCTGTAATTTATCCTTAAAAACCAAAGTGGCACTCTTTTTTAATTTCCTTCGCTACAATTTTGGATTCAACAACAGAAGGGATGTTTCAATGTACTCAACTATGAACATGTAGGATAAGAAAAACAAAAAGTGCAAAAATAAAAAAATAAATAAGGTTTCGAGTCATCTGATGACCAATCAGAAGGGAACGATGTCACTACAAGCGTAATCCGAGTTAGCGACTGACTCGTCGGGCCACGCGTCCCGCAACAACTTGAGTAGCAACTGCGCCTTACGCTTGGCGCGCGCCGTGCACTCACTCTGCACCAATAGCAGCAGCTGCGTGACTACGCCCACCGTCACCGCCTCCTTCTGCGTGGCCTCGGAGGTGGCGCACACCGCCAGGAGAGCGCCGGCCGCCGACTCGGTGGCGCGGTCGGAGACCTTGAGGATCATTTTCACCAGCAATGGCACGGCCAAGGCGTGAGCCTCAAAGGCCGCGCACCCCGCCGGTGTTCTACACAGGAGTTCTATGGTTGCGAGCGCGCGCTCCGCGTCGCACCGGTCGAGGTCGACGAGCCGCTCGACGAGGGCACTGGCAGCCCCAGCCTCGATGGCTAGTTCGCGGTTTGGCTTTGCAAGGCAAAGAGAGAAGAGGGATTTAACAGCCAGCTTGAGGGCTCGGGGGTGTGCGAGCGGCTCGCGGAGGAGGTTCACGAGCGCGGGGATGAGGCCGTCGGTGGCCCCGATGATTGCCCGCGACTCCCGCCCGGAGGAGAGCGCGGCCTCGACAATGGCCGCTGTGTTCGCGCGGACATCTAGCGATGCGTGAACGAGCAACACCGAGAGTCTCGACAAATGATTGGAGTTGGAGACAACGGATGCACAATAGGGTTCAGGGGCTAAGGCGATGAGAGAGATGGCCTCTTGGACAAGATCATCGGAGTTTTGGGGGTCGTGTATGGTGTTCGGGTCGTGTAGGGCGAGCAAGAGGATTGCTGGATGAGGGTCGTGCATTGCGAGTGAGATATGGGCGCGGTTATGGGGCGATTCTTTAGTAAGCGCATTGAGTCTCTGAAGGGCGGAGAGGCGAGCCTGAGAAGAGCTCGATGCCGACTCGGCCTGGGCTAGAATGGCTCGGATTAGGGTCGGATCGGCTGGTTGCTTCGGTGTCGGTATGCGCTCGACGCCTAACGCGTGGTTAGCCACGCACCACTCTTGGATGAGGCGGCGGAGGGTGTGGTTTGGGATGAGCGTCTGGTCTTGGAGTGGCTGGCGCGTGACAGGGCAGGTGGCATGGCCGGTGGCCACCCACGACTCGATGCTGGCTCGGTCGTAGGTCTGGCCTGTGCTCACAGTGACGGGGTCACGCATGAGCTCTAAAGATATGGGGCACCTGAAGTGGTGCGGGATCTGGAGCGCGCGCACCTCAAGCGGGGCGACGGGGACGCTGCCTGGCATTCTCTCTCTCTATAACTCTGCCTCCCCTTATTTCTCCACCCTTCCCACTCTCTTTCTCGTTCTCTTTCTCTCTCTACCTCATTCTAGAGAAAGGACGAACGACCGGTCCTCTGAGAATTATTCCCTGCCGCACTGCAACCATTGTCCTTCTTCTTCCTATATACTCACTCCCCTTCTCTCTCTCTCTCTCCCCACTTTTGGGTCTCTCTAAATCAACTCCACTCCTCCCTAAAATCCCAGAAATATACCACGCCTGTGCACTGACTCACTCTGACGCTCGCCTCACACACGTGCACCTCCTCTTCCTTTAATTCCCACCCAACCCACACCTTTAACTCCGGTCAAGAGTCAAGCCACCTGCTCAAATTCCGTAATCCACCTCGCCTATACCTATAATGACAAAATAACCGATTATATCTCGGCAAAAGTTTACATAAGAGCCGAGCTTACCTCCTAATTTTCACCACAAGAGGTTGTTTTCATGCTCAAATATCATCAAATTGATCATCTCCGCATCAACATGCATGGACACTAAAAAAAAATGCATTTCAAGTTTTGAAAATAATGTATTTTACAATGTATTTTTTGCTTATCAATTTTCAAAATTTTCAAGCTTTCATAGATCTGCTCAATCTATATTATAATTTTTATGATAAAAATATAATTCAAGACTATCACAAAAATTTTCAATATTAAAACCATATTCTCGATACTATTTGAAGACGGACTTTAATTTGATTGTTCATAGCCTCGAATCTATACAAAAACCGCATCCTTATATCTCAAATGTTATCCGAGTAGTTTTGGGGTGTTCCGGTCATTTGTTTGGGAGTGGATTAATGGGAGTTAATGGGACAATAAGGCGCCCAAACGTTTCGACGAAATTTCCGAAAGATTCGGGAACGGGAACACGACGGTCAAAATGACGGGACTGTCTTTTGACTTTGGCGGACAGCGGCCCGTGGGGCCCAATGGGCTCCCAAGGGGTTGAGAAGGAAACGACGCGCCATATTCACCTCACATGCGCCTCGTGGGGCGCGTAGCGTAGCGTGGCTTGGCTAGAGCGGAGGCGGAGCCCCACGGGCCACCGCACGTGGGAGAGTCGGGGAAATGTCCCCGGTCAACCTGGCAGCCTTGCCGGGTCCGAAAGGCCACGGTCGTTGCTCACAGGTGGCACCTCCATTGGCACGTGGAGATGGGGAATGGACCAATGGGGTGCCTCCTAGCCTCGCTGCTTTGACGGGTTGCAGGGTTTTGACCGCTACGTAACTTACGCCTTTGGGCCTTTGTGAAGCGAATGCGGCCATTCAATCGTTGTTTGCATTGAGGCCGTTTCCATCACCAGTCTTTTCGATTTTTCCGTCACTAGTTTTTTCGGTTTTGTATGCTTGACTTGTGTAAAAAAAAATGGCTGTAAATCAAGGAATGGAAAAGTATTTATTGAGTCGGCCCAATCGTTTGTCTACCATGGTTCTTAGTTCTTAGGGTGGTGAGGTTTTGATACTGATCAAATCACTCACCAACTCTAAGCAGTTGAGGTAAAGCTCGGATGATGATAATGACATATTATAAATCATTGTAAACACATTTCTACGTCAAATATATGAATTCAAAATTTAAAAAATAATGCAAACTTTATGGGTTTTAAACAATTAAAATGAATTGTATAGAATAATTACAAATTAAATAGTTTTTAAGGCAAATTTCATTTGCTCCGTGTTCATGATAAAATTGGTTTAAACAATAGACCTGAAAAATTTTGGATTCACACTCCATCACTAAATGATTTTGGGAGGGTATACTAATAGCATGTTTGGTTCGCTTGAAAATTTTTCATACAAATCATTTTCAAAAAAATTCTCTCATGTTGTTAAGAGCAGGAATATTTTTACATCAATTAGTTGCCAATTAATGTGAAAATATGCATTAAGACCTATTGGTATAAAAAAATTCCCACACTTAGCGATATGAGAGAATTTTTTCGTATAACCAAACATGCCATACAAAACTAAACCCTAGCCAGTAATGATTTTGTAAATTAGGTCATGTTTGGTATGCGTAAAAACATTTTCACATGAAATAATTCCCCCATCTGATTAAGTGCATAAGTTTTTCACACCAATTGGTCCCAATGAATTTTTTTCCCACCAATTGACAGCCAATTGGTGTGAAAAAAAATTTTCTCCATAACATATACTAGTTTTTTCATTTAAAATACTTTCACAAATATTTCATGCCTACCAAACATGCTGTTAATGATTTCTAAATTGGATTTCTCTATTTTTTTTTTCTGTGTGCGGAACCAATATGAAAATCCACTAAATTCCTTGCAATGATTCAATGTAGCAACTAATCTTGAATGGCCATTTCCTTTGTTTTTTCTGTATTTTGAAAGGAGAGGGGAATGATTAGGTACTCAACCAGTCAGCACTTAATATCCTTAGGAATTTTTTTCCTTGACTAATAATTCATCCTAGATCCTTACACTTAGGTTAGGACGGAGGTGGTTATCACCTAATGATAGAAATTGTGAACCAACACCATTAGGCTTTAACTTATACAAGTCAGATAACAATGAAAAATAATTGAACCGAAGGTGTTTGGCTTGGACTAATTCGGTAAAGTCAAGTCTTAATCAATCTTAGGCTGAAATATGTTTTCAGATTTACAAGCCGACCTTTTTTTCTCTTTTTGTTTTTTTTTTTGTGAACTTTAACCATGATTTACTAGCCTACCTAACTTTTAAAGTTTTAAAAACACCTGACATATGAATATATTTCTTTAAATATTGAGAATTGAATACATGTTATGATGGTGTTGCTTGTATATTTGGAATTCAATGGTATTATTCATGCAGTGGGTATAGCATACTCTTATTCATTCAGTGAGTATAGCATACTCTTGTAGAAGCATACAATACACTTACACCCTCGAATGTAGACCTAAGAGGATTTTCTCGATCTAAAATTTTAATATCCAGTTCAAAAGCAACGTTTGAGTATTTCATAAAAAAAATGAATTTTATGTCCAATGAACATCAAAAAATTGGAATGCCCTCTCAGGATTCCTTTTTTTTTTTTTTTTAACACCACTAGAAATATATATATATATATATATATATATCAAAAACACTCTATATATGCCTAAAAAGACAATTCAGTATTTAAACCAAAATCTTTTTTGAAAAAAAATATATAATCATTTGGTGATTCTCAAACCAATCATCGAAATAATCCTGGCTCATTCACCAGAGAGCAAGTAGCCCTCCACCAAGGTTGGGATTTTAAGGTTCCCTTTGGCGTTCTAATCTCCTCAAAATGTTATTCCTTTTAGAGGCTGAAAAACAATGGTGGGCCCACTACTTTCAAAGAGGACCACCTGGGTCGACCCGGCATGGAAAGAGCCCTAGCTGTTCTTGTATCTCATTGGCCGACACCCTTGGTCCACACACAATCACCCTCAACCACGTGGTCCATCCCAATTCGCTGTCTCCTCCCAGCCCCTATAAGTCTAAGGCACTCCACGTGCTCGAGCTGGACCACCCAACATTCGCCACCTGGCACAAAGTTAGGATGGGACCACATGCTACGTACTTAGGACACTAACGACTGTAATAACCCTAGTATTAGTCTGCATTTCTCTCTTAGTTAATAAATGGATTAGTATATGGTGCTCCGGTGGTCTATGTCATAAGTACACCATAGCGACATCCACTATTAGTTTCTTTGGATTAGGGGTGGCAATGGACCCGACTAGACCTAGGATCCAACAGGTATACCTAACCTCGGGTTTAGGTATGGGTCTAAATTTTGGACTCTAATACTATTCGAGTCCGGGTCCTAGTTTGGGTCTAGCAGGACCCAACCTGTACCCATAGTCATAGGATATATGATAGCAAGCATGCGTCTTTAGTTACACGCTAGGCGTTTATATTATCACAATATTGGCAACATTTACAATATTATTGCCTAAAAAAAAGAAGCTTATAGTCATAAGGTATATGATAGTAAAAAAAGGGGCAAAAAAAAAAAAAAAAACTCATAGTCATAGAGTTGCAATGGATTCAACCAAACCCGGGATCTAGCAATATTTACAATATTATTGCCAAAAAAAAAAAGCGCTCATAATAATAGGATATATGATGGTAAAAAAAAAGGCAAAAAAAAAACTCATAGTCATGGGGTGGCAATAGATTCGACCAAACCCAAGACCGGTTGGTTGGGGTACGGGTCCAAAATTTGGACCCGAATATTATTCGGGTCCGCATCCAGTTTTAGCCATACCCAACTCGTTGCCACTCCTACATTGGATGGTCAAGGTAATAAGAGGAGGATGTCCCTATGGTGTACCATATGTCGTACACCAATGGTGCATGGCAGACCTCACATTAATTAATTAGTCCTTTCTCCTTTTATTCTATAATCCACATGGATTATAGAAATGTTAGTGTTCCATTATAAAACTTATACCAAGGTTACGGTGCTCGATGACCAAGCTACAAATGCTATGAGCTCCAGCTACATACAGCCCAGATAAAAGTATGTCGGCGTATTATAACAGCAACCTATTATTCTTTGTATTGACTATTTCCTATTGTTTATGCATTTCAAAGTAGCAGGTGCTTTATCCATTTGCTTGTGAATTTTAATACAAAAACCCTAATTATGTATTGTTGGTTCTTATTATGAGAAGTAGATCTGCCATACTCCATTATAATATAGCTTCAATGAGACTGGTTTTGGAGTTTGTACTGGATAATTTGTTGGCAAAATGACCATCCATACCCTTCCCGCCCAATAGAGTCATTTGTGACACCGTTTCAGAAACGTAAACAAATATGTTCTAATTTTGAAAGGAATAGAGTGGCCATTGAGTTGGTAAGGGATTTGATCTAGTTAAAATTGATTTGATTATGAATCGAAGTAGTTGGAATAGATTTTTAAAATAAAAAAAAAAGATAATAGTTTATGCATAAAATATATTACAAATCGTTGCTGAGCTTTGATTAAACACTTCAAATGGTCAAAACCGCCAATCTAATAGGCTAAAACCAACTGATTCTGATATTTTGCAAAGAGTGACTCCAACCATGGCACTAATTAGGGGTCAGACCAAGTGGTTGAGTTAATATTAATAATTGTTACATGTTCGGATGAACAATTTGAACCGATTCGATGGTCACATTGTTATATGGATAAAAATAAGCAAATTAGACAATTTAAGACTTCCCAAGAACCGGATCACCCCCCAATTGCGGTTCAAACCAGATATCGAGTTCTAAAATACT